CGACTAATTCCATGGGGGTACCTGCCAGCAAAACGTAACTATGTTCCTAAAGGCTAGGACAACAAGGAAGAGATCACCTAGTATTTTTGTCTGTGCTGGGATTTGAACCTTCATTGATCTTAGGCATTTTAAAATGACATGTTAGACTAGGCATTTCCACTTATCTAGAAGAAGGTACTTCCATTAATTTTATTTTTCTTTTTACCTTTAAGGTCTGGATTTATTGAAGTTCATATATAATTAAGTGTTAGCTGTAAAAGGAACTAGAATTTTGGCTTCCAAAGTTAAACGTGTGTGAGAAAAAGATATGCATAATTAGTGAATAGTTGCTTAGTTTAGAAGGATATTTTGGTTGTGAATTTCTCATTTTGTGCAACATCGACAACTTTCAGATACTTTTTGACTAGATGGGGTCATACATAGGTGTGTCAAATAGTCCTAAAAAGCTTAGTTGGATCCTTTTTAAAAAAAATAAGGGCGAGGGATATCCAATATAGGCAATCTAGAGGGGTTGTCGTCCTTTTTACTCTAAAATTATGATTTAACTATGATTTTAAGCTCTATGATATTCTCTATCTTGTCTATACTAGGATGGTAATAATGATAACCTTTGATGCTCGAGTATGAGAAGGTAATGGAAAACAAAAAAAAAGTTCCATAAACAGTTGTTCGTAGTCTTCTTTGATTGCTCAATGCTTGGATAGAGAGAAGCAATTACTTTTTAGAATTGGTTTATCTTTTTATTCTCCAGAAATTCCAGCACGGAGTAAATTTAGAGGCTAATATTAGGATGTGGACCTGTTGCCGCCCTTGGCTTACACCTTTATCATATTTGTAGGTGGAATAAGAATTAACAATGAAGAACGGTTGGTTTCTGTGAAGAGCATTTTGCAGGCTAAAAACTAAATGCTTTGATTCTGGTTATAGGAAATAATCAATGAAAGCAACTCTAAAAAGCTTTACCCCGCTGTCGGCTGTGCTGTTTGGAGAGGTTGCATTCTTTTGATTTTGATCATATATAGTCATCATGGAGATATTTTGTCACCTCATCTGCCATTCTACAAAACTTAAGAAACGATTTTTCTTTTGAGAGGTGCAAAATTTTGTTCAAGTAGATCATCAAACAAGTTGAACAGTGCCATATGATAAGTCTTATTTATTCTGCTCCGGAAAATCGATAGTTTGAGCATACATGCACATCTAGAGCTACCCTCCTTTTGCATTTAGTAGTGTCGAGTTTTTGCATTTCACTTTCTGTGAGTCTGAATTGGGTAATAAGCTAAGCAAGGATCCATTATAACATGCTCCTGGGACTTGGATTACTGCAATTTTCTGTAGAAGATGGGTGGAGAAAGGAAGCAAACAAAGTATCTGGTGGTCAATGGATATAAGTCCTGGATTTCCTAATTGTTCTTATAAGGATGAACCTCGATTTATGAGATTTGATTCATACATGTTTTCTTTCATTCCTGCAGATTGTTGGGTGCATGACAGCTGAGCAGAGAAAGGTTCTCCTCTTCTTTTGGACTTCAATAAAGTATCTTCCCGTCGAGGGTTTTGGAGGTTTGGCCTCTAGGCTTTACATCTACAAAACCAGAGAGTCAAATGATCGTTTGCCTTCTTCACACACGTGCTTCTTCCGCCTATGCTTTCCTCCTTATCCATCCATGGATGCCATGCAAGATCGACTTCACATTATCACCCAAGAGCATGTAGGTTGCAGCTTTGGTACGTGGTAACATCATCGATCTTTTTGGACCTGAATCAGACTGCACATAAGTTATGTAATCAACTTGTACATATGTATAGCGTATGCTCCTATCTGGAACTTGACTTTGGTAAGTTTTTTTCTAGTTGGTTTAAATGGTGGAAGGTTGTAGTTTATTCTCACCTTAATTTAACTTTTATACAGGTATAATATCTGTTAATAAAAAAAATGTAAGAAGGGTCAAGTTTTTTCTTTTAACTTGTAGTTATATTTCTTCATGTGTGTGTGTTGTTTATATCTGTAAAGCTTAGTTCTTTTTTTCAATCTTTGTCATGCTAAAAACAGCATGCCTTGGGAAGTGATTGTAATATTGCCCTCTCCTTTTATTTAGATAACAAATGTACTATATTTGTATTGTGAGTACAGATTTGATTGGCATTTCACTTCTTTTATGGTTAGAATCATCAACTTTTCTTCATATGCCAGACACCATCTGGACTTGATGTTACTAATCTGTGAAGAATGGTACTACATCAACAACATACATAGGTTAATCCCACCAAGTGGGGACAGGGGGAAGTTAGAGTGTACGAAGATCTTACCTCTATTTTGGAGGTAGAGATCATTTTTGGTAGATTTTCGGAACAAGGAAATAAGGGGGACAACGTTTACTATCTATTTAACCTTCTTACCCTAATGCATGTGTATCTCTTATAATCTTTTATCTAAAGTCATGTCCTCAGCAAGCTGAAGCTACATTATGTTTGATTTTATCATATTTCCTTAATATTTCTTTGATCTACCTCTCTTGAAATCATCCGTAACTAACTTTTGAAGAATGGGATTACTTTTTTTTCCTTGAAAATAACAATAACATTGGCATTGTAAGAAAAGAAACGCGAAGTTTTGGGGTTCTCTCTTCTTTTTTTATTAGAAGAATGATTCGAGCCTCTTAACTTGATTCTTTGAATCTAGAGATTCATGAATCGAAATTCTAATGCATATAGATACAAATGGCCCAACGAGATCGGGGGAAAGAGAGATGAAGCATTCACTTATTCTCAAATATTCAAATATACAGACTTCATGTTTCAAGAGAGTGGCATGCTAAGTAGAGATACTACACAAAATCAAAATAGGATAATTGAAATGCAGAAGTGCTATAATAAAGTCATATTATATCATATCATATATGATAGATGCATATAACGAAACTCTTGAGTTGCTATAGTATTCGATATATCCACATCTTAATAGCAGAACTACTTTCGTATTACTAAACAAGGAAACCTTCGGCTCCCTTTGTTTGAATAAACGCCGCTTATTTTGGTCTACATTCAAACTAAAGTAAACTCAAGCCTAAGCGGTCACGATATCTTGTTGATATTGATTGAGGAGTTTGATGGAGTTTAGCTGACTGAATCCATAAACCTAGAAAGTCGTTACTGGTACTTTTTTATTAGAATTTTACTCTATAGGTAGGTATCGGCGGGTCTTGTGTAATGTAGATGTAGTTAAGGCTGAAGTAGCGCTTTTTTTTTAGAAGATCTACTGAAGTACCAAAGGCAAACGGGGCTCCCAGGTCGGGACGTCTGGCAAAATGCTTGGCCTCCTACGCTGGAAGCAAGACCCGAAGGATGAGCTTATGGCGGTTTAGCTTCTAGCACTAAATAATAGATGAGTGTTGTATAAATGTGAATGCTAAGAAGAATATACAACCATATAAAAATTGAAAATGACCTACAACAAAAGGTATAACTTGTAAGTAGCACTTGAAGATAAAATAACATGTTCCATGTCAACTTATAGATACATACTTAGTAGCTTTTATTTTAACTTAATAAGTGGAGATGTGACTTAATAATGAATAGTTGTAATTTTTTTAGAAATATTGGATAATCTCTTCTTATTTGTTAAATCTTTGGCAAGGAGAATTACCTAAAACATGTATTAATAAAGGTCATAGATACTCATTACAATAATCGAAATGCAATAAGCCGATTTAGATATCACTGTTAAAAAAGAAGAAGAAAAAACACAATAGACAAAAAGATATACTAATCATTTTATTATTATTCATAGCTGAAGTTGCATTATGTCTACTCCGATCTAATCACATCTTTTTAATATTTTTCCGATCTATCTCTTTTGAAATCATGATCTATTTCTCTTGAAACCATTCATAGCCAACTTTTGAAAAATGGTACTACTTTTTTTTACTTGAAAGTGAGCCAATAGCATTGGTTTTGTAAGAATGGGAAAGCACAAAGTTGTTGGATTATCTCTTTCTTGTTTTTTGGTTCGAAAAAAAATGATTGAAGCCTCTTATTTTAATTTTTTGAATCTAGAGATCCATGAATCAGAATCTTAATTCATATAGATACAAATGGTTCAACGAGATTGGGCAAAAAAAGAGATGAGGCATTCACTTATTTTTAGATATTCAGACTTAATATTTCGAAAAAGTAGTACGATAAATGGATATATTACACAAATTAAAATAGGATAATTGAAAAAACAAAAGTATCATGAAAAAGTTATATTATATCATATCATATAGAGAGATGCATATAATGAGGCTCTTAGAGTTGTTATAGTATTCGATATATCCACAAGATGAGTGTTGTATAAATATGAATACTAAAAAAGAATATATGATCATACGAAGATTAAAATGATCCACGATAGAAGGTTTAACTTGTAAGTAGCACATGAAAGATTAAATAAGAGGTTGATTAAAATGATTTGATCATGTTCCATGTCAACTTTTAGAAGCACACATACTTACTAGTTTTTATTCGTACGTAATATTGAGTTGATCTAACTTCTAAGTAGAACGATATGATAAATAAGGATGTGGCTTAATGATGAATAGTCGTGAAAATTTTAGAAATAACAGATAATCTTTTCTCATTTGTTAAATCTTTGATAAGGAGAATTACCTAAACCATATAGTAATAAAAGCTCGTAGATATTCATTATAATAATCGAAATGTATCAAGCTGATTTCGATATCATCGTTATTAAAGAGAAAGAAAAAACACAATAGACAAAAAGATATACTAATCCTTTTATTATTATTCAAAGATAGACTCCAACCCCCCCACCCCACCCCCCACCCCCCTCCCACAAACTACAAACCAAAGACCAAAGACACAAGGATATATGCATTACAACAAACATATTCCTTCATTCTAGTTACCATACTAAATAATACTAATAATAATATATAAAACCTTAACTTAAAATATTAAAACATCACCCCCACCCCCTACCCCACATTATTCACCAATTTTACTCTTCAATCTTCTCAACTTGTTCAACAGCTGGTGCATCAACAACTTTTTCCTCATCTTCTTTTGCCTCACTCTCCACTTCAACTTTTTCATCATCTGTTGAAAAATAAAAATAAAATTATAAAACAATGTATTTTATTTACTTTACAAAAAAATATAAATATGACTAAAACATTGTCTTATTAAACAATGTGAAACTTTTTGTCTTTCTCTATCACACGAAACAAACACTTATCGATATCCATTGTCGGGTGCCCATAGATTGAATCTACTTAAACAACTTAAAGACTCGACCGTGAAAAAAAAACAACATTTAATTTAATAACAAATCATAAAGGTAATTTTATAAAAATAAAATATTTTTATCTTACCAACAACTTCAGGTTCTGCACCCACTGTTTCCTCTGCCAAAACAGAGTCTTCTGTTTTCTCTTCAGCCACTGTTTCCTCAACAGCTGGAGCTGATTTCTCTTCTTCTGGTTCTGGTGCTGGTTCGATTACGGTATCTTCCACGGCGGGGACCGCTTTTTCTTCAACTAAAGCGGTTTCTTCTGTTGGCGTTGGTATTGGTGCTGGTGCTGTTTCTTCTGCAACAACGGGGGCTACTTCCTCGGTTTTGATTGTTTCTGGTGTGATCTTCGCCTCGATTTCAGCTGGAACAGTTACTACTTCTGGGGCTGGTGTGGATTGAACCTTCGTAACAAAAAAAAAATAAACGCGGTGAAAAAATAGAAGTAGTATAACTAGCATTGACATGAAAAAAAAATATAAGTACATAATTAACATACGAGTTCTGACGAACTCAGTAACTTTAGACTCTGTATATATATTAAAAAATTCATTAAATCTGTAATGTTTATTTAATTTGTAAACTTGTATGAGTTTGACTACAAGTTCAGAACTCATAAACTTTAAATTATGAATCTGCTTCTTCTGATTAGAATACATAGAAATAACGCGTGATATTGGGATGAGGTAAGAGATCCAATGCTCGAACGAACGTAAAATCAAAATCAAATCGATTTAATTGTAAAAGACAAAAGAATCATATAAATTGAAAACATTTTTTAAAGAAAATGACTAGAGAAAAATGTACCTCAACAGTGGCCATTTTTGGAAATTGAAACTAACAAGATGTGAAGAAAATTAAAAGATGAAAAAAGGGAGCAAATGTGTTTTTTGATAGTAAGAATGGTTATGAGAAATGAAGAATATAGAGAGCTATTTATAGGGAAATAAAATGTACAATATTTAATGAAATTTAATATAAAAATAAATAAAAAAAGAATCTTTTTTTATTTAAAAAAAAAAGTGAAAAGAAGAATATTGAGGGATATACAAAAATGACATCTCATATCAACTGACATAAAAGGCTAGGACAAATTTTGCATGTCTAGTTGTTAATATTTTTATTCTTTTACGATTCTCTGTTTAATTTATTTATCTTATTTTAATTTAATACAAAATTTAAAAAGTTGAATTTCTTCTTAATTTTTATAGTTTTAAATTAGAAACATGTAGAATGTAAGAAATATTCGTTAATTTTATAATCTTAAACATGACATATTAACGTTTAAATTTGATCGATGTCAAATAAAAGGAGAAAGATATATCATTTTTAAAATAGATTAAAAAGAAAAAGTAACGGATATTGAATATCTCAAAATTATTCTATGAATCAAGAATTTAAATGTTATGAATTTTGAAATGTATATTTAACTCAGTGCGTCCTTAATTTTGTCATTCAAACACATAAATATACTATAATAAAAAATATTTACCATTTGCAGCAATAACAATTTTTTTTTTCATTTGACTACTTTTAATTCATTTATTATACAAGTTTAATATATATTTACAAAGATAAATTTATTATTAAAATATAATACAAATTTTAATGAGAGATAATACATTTATCACATATTTTAATACACTTATAATATAATGTGACAATTTTTTACCAAACAAACATAATATATTTCAAAAACAATTATAATTCAAATATATTTCATACATAATTCACTTTTAATATATATTACAAATTTATTACAATATTACTATAAATGGTAATAAACAAAATAGAATCGCTAAAATCAGTTTTTTATTCTTAAAAATGTATTAATTCATATAATTTTTTCTGATTTTTTAATCTTGAAACATTGTTATGATATTCATATTGAGTTTGCCTCTAACTTGAGGCACGATACGATAAAAAGAAAAATTACTCATAAATTCATCGTTAATCTATCGATAAATATATTTTATAGTTGAATAGATGGTTAAAACCCATGCTTTATGATTTATTGGAAATGACAATCCACATGGTGTTGGAGGCCATTTGCTATAACAACAATCATATCTTTTTCTTAAATTAAATTATTTTGTGTTTTGTGTAAAGTTTAGTATGTAGGTGACTGTAGGACTATCATGCTTTCATGTTCTTCTAATTAATCATAAATAATTACACTAGCTACGTACTATTTTTTTGTTTCTTTGGTTTTGTTGCAATTTGGTCCCTTCGTGGATCTATCCCAGCTTATCGAGGACATGTTTTTAAATAAAAAAGTGTGAAAAATATAAATTTAGGTTAAAAAATTAGTAGGTAAGAGTGTGTCCATATTAGTGTTTTATCTTGTTGCACTTATTAGTAGTCGTAGAACTGCTATCAAGTTTAATTTCTTGTTTGTCGATTTCTGCGACTATCTATTATTTCGTGTAGTTTGTACTAGTACAACTACGTCCCTAATTATCGTTTTGTAACTATTCATTGTATATATTTTTTTTTCATTAAGTCTTTTTCTAGACTATTTTTATTTTGAACTAATGGTCTACTGGAAACAACCTCTCTCCTTCACCTCTAAAGTAGAAATACGATCATCATACACTTTATTCTCTCTAAATCGAAAGTATAATGGATATATATATATATATATATATATATATATATATATTTGATATATTTCGATCTAGGAAAGGTAGAATGTACGATAATGATATATATAGTAAAAAAGTTATCTTGATTGCAATTTTCTATGAGTATTATTGGATCATGGGAAGTGTTGGCCATCATGAAAAGCCATGCAAACTAAATTACTACCAACCCTTCGTCTACGGCATGCAACAATCATTCACCCTCTTACAACCTAATTAAAAGTAAATAAATAAAAGCTTAATAGTACATCGTCGCCCTATTAAATTTGTCAGGATATTTCATATAAATCGTTCAAATTAAGTCACGTTCCGTTTGAATATTTCAATTACTCTTAGATACAAATTTCAAAAGAAAAAAATTATAAATCTTTTCGTTTGTCTATTAACTATAGGTAGTGGAGCTAACCACAAAACTATATAGGTCATAATTTCTTTAATTTTACGCATCAGTCTCAAGTAGAAAATATCTGACATTTTACGAGACGAAAAATGCATAAAATTTAAAAATATATATATTTTATATAATTAACTTAACAACCTGATTAATCGACCAATAAAAACAAACACAAATCTTAAAAATTTAAATCAAATTTTTGTCATTAGAAGTTGAAATGTTCATGTCATTATCATATTGTATTATTTGTATACGTCCATATTAAAGATTCATATTGGGAAAAATGGTCATTAACGTTAAGAGGGGACACTAGGCCGGCGCTTATTCAACCCCCACTCACATATTGTGATCATTAATTCTTTAACTCGTCGGGATCTCGGTTAATTTATACACATCTCGATTAATTATACATATTGATATTGAGAATATTGAGTTACGTTGTGTAACGTAGTTTGAATAGATAAAATATCACATAATATTTTGTATTTATTGATTTTTTTAAGTGGAATGACATTAAATCGTAAGTTTTTACTACATTGCCCCTAATTTCAAAATAGTTTAAGTATTTTTTTAACTAAACTAAGCGTTCTTAAGAATTCACACTTTTCTGAACCTAGAAAATCGACAGAATTCTAGGATTCCTCCTGGAAGAGATGTAACGGATAAAATTATTGAAATGTAGCAAGAGGTTACAACTTCACTTGTTCAAACTGTGAAAACAATGTAAAATTCTCGTGATTTGACTCTTTTCTAGAATCACGCAGACGATCACAGTGTCTCAAGTTCAAACTGTGAAAATAACAGAAATACAACGCTTTTCTGAATCTCGCACACAATCACAATTTCCCATATTCATATCATAAAAACAACGTAAAATTCTCGTGATTCGATCCTTTCCTAAATTCCGCCCATAACATTGTCCTATTTGGACTATGCAAAAAGCAACATGAATAATCTGACGTGGCAACTTTATTTTTTTTTAATTTTATAGTAAAGTTCATATAACTATGTGGGACCCATCAAACCGCCCATTCTAAAGATGCTTAAATCAAGTGGGTCCCTTAGATGCTTTTTCAGGTATAAATCAGTGGGCCATGGGCCCCACTTGCTTTTTTGCCACGCTGGAATTATGTCATTGCCACCTAGATCTATGATCCCTAAAATTTAAATTTCATTATTACTACTTTTTTAAAAAAATTATTTAAATAGACAAACACTTTTTATCTTTTTTTTAAAAAAAAAAAATATATATTTTTCAATTTTTTTTAATTATGTATTCTAAAGATTTGTTGATGTAGTTACAAAAGTTTGATTTAAATTAACGACTTACGCTTTATTATAGTCTCTTGACAACGATGAAATTTCTTTCTAGTGATTAAATGACAATATGAATTGATCGAATAAACTAGGGGGAACAGACTAATAGTGCGTAAATCATAAATGGTATTCCATCTGTTTTATTTTACGTGTCACTTTTCAAATTTTGAGATTCAAACAAGTCTATCTTTTACCGTAAATTTTATATGGATCTTTTAAACATTTCGAAATATCAATTATTGTAACTTATAGTACTTTTGACGTAATTTATAAATATATAAATTTCATTTCAAAACAAATTGAAGATTCCATCCGTAAATTTTTGATAAATTTGTACTGTTTAACTCTTGAAAAATAAAAAGTACCACATAAATTGAAACCGGAGTACATAGATTAAGGGTGCAAAATTGTGAAGTACTCCTAATGAAAAATAGCAAGTATCATAAGAGAAGAAGGGAAAGGGCTCAAATATGGTATCGAACTTTCAGAAAAGGTTCATTTGTGTCATCAGTTAAAAGTTTGGCTCATTTATGCAATTACCGTTAAAGAAAAGGCTCATTCATGCCATTATTTTTTAATAGTGATTTTGCAAAATCATTTTTGACACGTGGCCAATTCTTTTAATTAAAAAAATCATAACTCTAAAAAAATTGAATTAATTTTTTTTGATTTTTTTATTAAATAAATTGATGATGTGGCCAAATTATAATTGGTCACGTCATCAATTTTTTTTTATAAAAAAAATTAAATTCTAAATAAAAATGAATTATTTTTTTTGATTTTTTTAATTAAAAAAATTGATGATGTGGCTGAATTATAATTGACCACGTGTCAAAAATGGTTTTGCAAAACCACTGTTAAAAAAACTGAGGCATGAATGAGTATTTTCTTTAACAGTGATGACATAAATGAGCCAAACTTTTAACTGATAGCATAAATGAACTTTTTTTCTGAAAGTTCAATGACATATTTGAGCCTTTTTCACAAAGAAGAATATAGTCCTTGAACAATTATAATTTCAAAAATAGAACTTTTAAATATCTATAATACTATAATGATTTTAGATTTCTTAAATTCTTTTAGAATGTGTATTTCACAAAAAAAAGAAAAAAAAAAGCTTTCTAAAAATCAAGTTTGTCTATATGCTTATTAAATAACTATAACAATAATAACTACGTCACGATCTCAATCAGTCTTTTATAGATAAATTCGTCCCAATTTCAATTAAACTAAGTTTGATTCATCCTTTCAATTTCGATTGAGTCTATCTCTAAATTCATAATGTTCAAAACTTTCTCTTACCTTTCTATTAGACTCGATTATAAATCATTATACCTTAGTCCAAATATAATAATAATAATAATTACGTTTCAATCCTGATCAAAACTTGATTGATGTATATACAATTCCAAATAAATTTTATCGATATACAATTGCGATCAGTCTCAATCGAATTTAGTAATTGCATGAAAAGTTGATGCTTCTTTTTCATTTATTTTCGTCCTCATTAGCGCTTAACTAATATAATAGAAATTGACTCTTGTTTGTTTGGTAAACTCTCACTTTTTAATAGGTATAGGTGTTGCTCAAAGAAGAGAG